TTTGAACCAAAAAAAAACAAATCATATTCAAAATTCAATCTGCCCTCTTATTTTTAAAGAATTTTTTTTGGTCTTATATCCAAAAAGAAACTTATACAAGGGCAAATTATCATTTTTGCCAGAATAAAATGCAAAAATTCATCTGATTCAATTTTGACCAACATATAATTTGAAATGAATTTTTCTGCATTCATTTAACATCAAACTTACATTATAAGGTCTTTTGTTTTTGATATTTTGAAAATATTATATAATTTGCAGTATATATATTTTATCATTATTTTAAATTATTTTAAATATATCTGATCTTTGTTTTTTTAAAACTGTAAGATTAAATTCTATTTTTGAATAATTCAAAAAGCCTTATTAAAGAAAAAATACCTCTCAACAGGAATCTATTATTCTTGAAAAAATGGGAAATGAATCATATCTTTCTAAATACTGTTAAATGTTTTGGTTTTAGAAGCATTCCTTTTTTTTTTTTCAATTACATAATTTAAAAAACATTTTGAATCCTGTTGGGATTTTGAGCCTTGAAACAGTTTTCAAAAAAGATAAAATCTTTTCAATTTCTTGGATCAAAATTTTTCTGTTTAAACAAACTAGCCTTTTTGAGAAGCAAAATTAACAAATTTTTTTTTTCAAAAATTTTGATTTTTAATATCTTTTGTTTACCATGAATACCCACTTAATTTTTAATAAATAATAAATATTGCTTTTTTAAAACTTTTTTTTTTTTTTTTTTTTAAATCATTTCACCCCAAGCAAATTGGGAATGCCACTAGTATGCAGGGGGGGTTACAGAGAATGAAAGGAAAGAGAAAAGACTGAGTATAAGGAGGATTGAGGAAAGGATAAAAAAGATGAACAGGATTCAAGAAGATAGAAGATGGCAGTTGACATTGCATTTAAATTTTTGAAGACTGTATTTTTCAAGCAAGTAAAAAGAAGCAAGTTCCACAGATGGGAAGAGCAAGAAAAGAGACTGTTGTAGTAAAAGTTGCAGTTACATTTAACTATTTCAACACCAAAAGGGTGGGACCTAGATGCCAATCTAGTAGCATGCTTAAATTCATGTAGTTCAGGGCAGCAGGGAAAAAAAAGCTCATCAGAGCAGTTGCCATAAAAATATTTGTAGAAAAGACAGAGGGAGGCCATGTCACATCAGTGAGAAAGGGACTGAAATCGAGACGCCAAGTTAGGATGGATTACAATTCAGATCCTTCTCTGGATTTTTGTCAAGAACCTTGGGACGAATAGCGGGAGTACCAGACCAGATATGGCAACAGTATTCAATGCACAGATGAATAGTAGATTTGTAATGTGCAAGATAGACTCTGACGAGAAAAACATTCTGGCATGACACAGTGACTTAACTTTCCTTGCAGTAGATGCAACTATTGATTCAATGTAGTTGATACACTTAAAGTCATTTGAAAAGATGAGGCCAAGAAGGTGTAGCGTGTTGCTCTCCAGGAGTCTAGCATTAGCTACGCTGATAGCAGTCAGGAAAGTTTCTCTATAGTGGTTAAATGAGAGCAGTTTCATATTGGAAGCATTAAAATTTATGAGCAATTTATGCCCTAGTTAACCACCGATTGGAGGTCCTTGTCAAGAGCAGTGGCCAGATTTACTTTGTCAGCTCTGACAGATTTGCTATTGACACAGGAGTAAATGGTTGTGTGTGACATCAGCATAAATGCCTACTTGGGAACTGATGACATCAGGAAGATCATTAATGAAGATCAGAAACAGCGTAGGACCCAGGATAGGGCCTTGGGGGAAACTTGTGTTTGTGTGAAAGGATCTGGAAGTGAGCCCATTCAAAACAACCTTCATTTCAAGATTTGATAAGAATGATTGGATTAAATCCAACAATTGTCCAATAATACCATAGCCCTGGAGATTACGTAGAAGACCAGCCAAACCCTGTCAAATGCCTTCGAGATATCTAGAGCCACAGCTTTGCTTCACCGTTATTATCAAGAGCTTGATATACATATTCAGTGATGGTTGTTAGCACATCAGCAGTAGACCTGGTAAAACGGAAGCCATATTGTTTGTCAGAGAGTAGGTCATGACAGGTAAGATGCTTAACCATGTCAACATTGATTAAATCCTTGAATACTTTGCCAAAAAGTATTAGGAGAAGAACAGGACAATAGATGCATCAAAAGGTTCTCCAGAGTTTTTAAAAACAGGAACTGCAGAAGAGGACTTCCAACAAGCTGGAAAGCAGGAAGCTGTGAGGCAATAGTTGTAGAGTTTGGAGAGAACTGGAGCCAACTCAGGAACACATTTCTTTAGGATGATGGCTGGTATCCCATTACCTCCACTTGCCTTATGGGAGTCTAATTTAGAAATGATGTCCAAGACCAGTGACAGGGTTATGAGCATATCACTCAATAGAACCTCTGTCCTATTGAAGAAATCTGGTGTAGGTACTCCAAATTAGTCAAGTGTTGAGATGGAAGAGAATTTCCTAGCAAAGCATTCAACCTTATCTGCAGTAAATGTCAGGATTTTGAATTGATTAAATAGAGAGATTGAGGTTTTGCTGCTGTTCAGAATAGGCTTTCAGAGACACCAATAATCTCTAGAACCAAACTTGCAAGATGCTATACATTGCTTCATTCTATCAGCAAATAGCAACTTTGCTTCTTCAAGTACACGCTTGCACTGTAAGGAGAGACAAAGAGTCATCTGTTGCAATCAGACTAGGCTGGTAGACATGAATTTCACTGTAAATAAACAATGATGTCTACTCAAACAAATTTGCCCACAAAAATAACTTATTGGGATAAAAATATTCGATTGAAAAATAAAGTCAACTGCCTATATATAAATGAGTGTTGAAAAGTTGTCTGCCCAATAAAGGACCTATAAGAATTAAAAAAGAAAATTCTGATATTTGGCTATTTGATTAGATTTTGGGAAATAGGTCGGGCTGAAAACCTCTCAGTACCCTCTTACATATAACACACTACACAGACACACACAAAAATATATATGTTAATATCTATAAATTTGATCATAGCTGTTAATGTGTATACATTTTGGAGTGGGACTTCCTATAAATTATGTCTATGTATAAAAGACGAAAATTTCATTCAATGTATTCAAATGGATGGATTGATTGATTGGTTTTGCTAAGAGGTGTGAAAAAAATGATCGTCAAGTAAAAATAGGAGAGGAAAGTAATTGCGATGAACAAAAATCAATAATTCCATTTTAAATCATTTGACTTATACTTCATGTATTTTTCTCTCTCCCTTTTTTAAATCTTTGTAATCCACTTCAAAAGAACAAATTCCAATACAAGATTCTCAAGTCAAGGATTTCCACACTGCATATGCATACCACAGAGGAGTTGTTCCTTGTATGTTTGCTTATTCCTCTTTGGATATTTCACATATGTCTTATTCCCCAGATATATAACTTGTGGGAATGCTATAGAAATTCTTTAACCTTTGACCTCAAGTCATTTCTGAAGCTCGTTAATCACAGCTGCCACAGGTAGCTGCTCATAGGTGGGAATTCTTCTATTGTCTTGTTGTTTGAATTAGGACCATTCCCACTATTGTTGCCACCACCACCACCTTTTGTGTTAGTCGACTTGTTAGTTGTCTTTGTATGGGTTCTCTTGTGACGGGTTAGCGTGTCACTTCGAGCGAACTGCTTGGAGCAAATCTCACAGTGGAAAGCCTTTTCCCCCGTATGGGTTCTCTTGTGCAATCTCAGGTAGTGCCTCTGGGCAAACGCCTTCAAGCACACCTCGCACTGGAATGGTTTTTCTCCCGTGTGTGTCCTGCGATGCAAAACCAGGGAGTTCCGCTGGGCGAACTGCTTGAAGCAAAATTCACATTGGAACGGGCGTTCACCCGTATGTGTCCGCTTGTGCAACTGGAGGTAGTGCCTGTGGGCGAAGCGTTTGAAGCAGGTATCGCACTCAAAAGGTTTTTCACCAGTGTGGGTCCTCTTATGTATTTGCAAAGTGTTTCTTTGGGCAAACTGCTTAAAGCAAACTTCACATTGGTATGGTTTTTCCCCAGTGTGTGACCTTCGATGAACATGCAAGTAATGCCTCTGAGCAAAGAGCTTCATGCAGATGTCACACTGATATTGCCGTTTATTTCCCGGGCCTTTGACTGTCAGGAAATCTGACTGAATTGTGCTTAAACCTGAGGTATTGCCATCACTGCCACCACTGATCCTTGCAGCATAAGCTGCTTTTTTGGCAGCCCTCTCATGTTGTTTTTTGTGAGAACGGAGTTTATTACTTTGGGCAAACTGTTCAGGGCAAAGGTCACAGTGGAATGGTTTCTCACCAGTGTGTGTACGGCGGTGTATCTGTAGGGTGGTCTTGCGAGCAAACTTCTGAATGCAAAAATCACACTGGTATGGCTTCTCTCCAGTGTGTGTCCGTTTGTGAATAACCAAGTAATGTTTCTGGGTGAACTGTTTCATACAAACATCACAATGCAACAGCTTTTCACCTGTGTGCAGTCGTTTGTGGATCTGCAGGTAATACTTCTGAGCAAATTGCTTGCCACAGACATCACATTCATTGCGTTTTTCACCTGTATGTATAGTCTTGTGAATGCGCAGGTAGTAACGCTGTGAAAACTGTTTCTGACAGATATCACACTGGTATTTTTTCTTGCTCAAGTGTGTCTTTTTGTGCATTTGGAGTTTAACACGTTGAGCAAACTTTTCTGGACACTGGTCACACTGAAAAGGCATTTCTCCTGTGTGTGTCCTACGATGAATCTTAAGTGTATCCTTGCGAGCAAACTTCTGAATACAAAAATCACACTGGAATGGTTTTTCTCCAGTGTGAGAACGTTTGTGTATTGTTAGATAGTAACGTTGAGCAAAATTCTTATGACAGACGTCACAGTAGTATGCTTTGCGAGCAATTCCACCTCCACCTACATTGTGAAGTTCTTCAAATCTTGGAAGGTCAGGTGAGATTCCTTCTTGGTAGCTAGCCATCATACCTAGATTTTTCTGCTGAAGTGGGGTCTGGAGATGTTGGTGTTGTGGCTGCATTGGAGGTGTAGGTGAGGGCATAGGGGGGGATGAGATTGGTGTGGATGAGATTGGTGGTGAGGACATGGGTGGTGGTGAGGTCATGGGTGGTGGTGAGGTCATGGGCGGTGGTGAGGTCATGGGCGGTGGTGAGGTCATGGGCGGTGGTGAAGAGTTTAGGTATGAAGACGAATCAGGGTGCATTTCAGGTGGCATGACAGCTGGGTGCAAGGTGACATTGTCACTCATGTTCTGTCCCAAACTCTGCTCCATGAATTCATTCTTGTCAATGTGTGCTTTCCGATGACGCTTCAGGACATCACGGCGTGAAAAAAACTTATGACAAAACTCGCACTGGAAGGGCTTCTCCCCAGTGTGCTTCCGCCTGTGCATGTGCATCAGGTACTCCTGTGCAAACTTTTTGCCACAGTAATCACAGTACAACTGCTTCAGTGGCGCAATAGCGGTTGACTGTTTTTGTGGCTTGTTCACATTGTCATATGTCTTGGGGCTCATGTCTTCCTGGAATGGTTTCTCAATAGAAGGGAGGCTCTTTTGGGACACATCTTCAGGAGAGGGACCACTGTCCATGTTCATTGGAGTCCGATCTGGCCCTGAGGAAGTATTCGTGTAACATGGTTGCGAATACTGATTGCTGGAGTACATGTTGCTTGGGAATACATTCTGACCGAGGTAGGGTATACGAGGTGGGGATTCTATTGTTTGCTGAGGAGGGGGTGAGAACTGGTTTGTGGACATGCTGCTCTGGTTACTGTTATTATTATGACTGTTAGGAGTCATTCGTTCTTTGTCCAAACCCTGTTGGTGGGGATGTGAAGATGAAATCTGTTTTGATGGGAAGCCACTGCCATCATGCTGCAATGGTTTATCTGGGACATGTGACATTCGATGATGTGTTGGTGTCTCTTGGCAGCTTGCATGAGTATATGGTTTTGCTTGCATAGAGGAATTATGATGTTGGGGTGCCTTCTCACTGCCAGTACTACTACTACTATTACTACTACTAGTGCTACTAAGATGAGACATACGCTGAGCAATCTGAACGGTATGTTCATGAGAATAATGTTTACCAGAACTGCTAGCTCCTCCTCCCCCTCCACTACTGGGTGGGGGAGTAGAGTTCATCATCAACTTTTCTGCTGCATGTGACATCCGGTGCGAGACATGAGTGTGGGGTGACGTGCCATGAGAATGTGATGATGAACCATGCCTATGATGGAGGTGTTTTGTAGACATATCACTAGTGCTGTTGGTGCTGGAACCTCCTCCTCCTCCTCCACCACCACCACCTCCACCACCACCACCCCCGCCACTGTTGTGATGATGGTGGTGATGGACCGATTTCTCTGAGATTGGAACCATGCGTGGATGCCCATGTGAACTATGAGGTGCTGTGTGTGAGTACTGGGCTCTTCCACCACTCATGTCCCCATGCATAGACTTCTCACTGACATGTGTGTGCATTAGGCGCTGGGTATCCAAGCCTCCATGTTCATTGTGAGGGTAGTGCTTACCCACCTGGGAAATTGTGTTGTGGATGGATTTTTCAGCAATATGGGGCATTCGTTGTGGGTGTAGAGAGTGGGCAGGATGAAATGGCATAGTGTACATGTCGTAGTGGAAAGGGACCCCTGCTGACCTTTCCATGATGATGATGTCTGGAGTCTTACTTCAATGCAAACCAGGGATTGGGGATGTCAATGTGGTTCAGGTCCAGCAAGGATGCCTACACTTGATCAGTAGCAATGAAGAAAACAAACACGTAGCCCACGGATTTCTACAAAAAAATAAATTTCACAAATTAAGAATAATGACAGAAGTTCAAACATTATGAATGCAATTATGATAAAGAATTATTATAATAATATAATTATTATAATAAAGAGATTTGAGATTGCAAGATAAATATTAAAAGTTTATCTAAGATTTAAGCTCTGATATATTAATTTACTGCATCAATCCCAATAAAAAAGTCTTTGGAAATGGTTAACTATCTTTATAGAGCAAAAAGACTTTAAAATGAATGTCCAAGACTGCTCTTTTTATGACAGACATTATAGAATAACTAGACATTAGTTAATAAAAATGCTAAACATTGATAAAATGTTTAGAAATTTTGATTGTTAAAAGCATGACTAGCATTCTCTATATCTATTTTTACTGACATTCATTGTGACCCAAACAGAATACTGTTTTAATCACTGTTAAATCCATTATCAGCTATGACAAGAGCATTTGGGAAATAAACAGGCTCAAGTCTTATTTAAAGTCATCAAATTTCAAGTTTTTTTCCAACCCACTGTAATCAATAATTATTATCGCTGAAATAGTTGTTAGCATGATTTAAGTAGTTCTATATTTCCCCATATACAAGGATCAAGAGCAACTCAATGTAGAGGGTTACAAAGTAAGAGGAACCAGGTAATCATTTATGCCTTGGTGGCTTTATTGCTTTACTTTGTGTGAAATTAGAAAAATAAATGTCATGCTGATAATAGTACCAAAGGATCAAAAAGACATTTCTATGACAATTATTCAAATAAGTTTGTGCATGAAACCAACATGTAACATTTTAATCTGCAACATTTATTGGGAACAAATAGCATTCAAGCAGATGGGAAATGTATTCAGTAAGTACACAAAAATAGGACAAAGTGTAAGACAAAGATGCATTTTCTTGGCTGCAGATTTATTAAAACCACACAGTGATAGGATCCTAAAAGTATTAGAAGACCTACCAAGATTCAGTATCAGTGATAAAATAAGATACACTGTGCTTATAGCAAAGTCAAAAGCAGAACTACAAAATCTCTTAAGGTAGCAAAGCTGATTCAGCTGATTTTGTTTAGCAGCATAGCAACCTCTATGAGTTATTTAATGCAGAAATCTAAATATTTTGTAAGTAATTTTATGCTCTTTTTGTACCTAATTTTATACCTTCAGGGTAAACATGTTTTTTTAGATATATAGTTTGTAAATCATAAAATGTATTATTTACATTTTTTTTAATGTATTGCTGGTAATTTTATTGAGAAAATATATTTTTATACTTTTTTTAGTTTTGTATTGTCATTTTACTATAAAAATATACAGTTGATTTTTGCTTTGTTTTTTTTTTGGGGGGGTCCACTATTTATCCATAGCTAGGGCTCTAACAGGTGCTACCATCTAGGGCTAGGGTGAACATGGGAGTAACAGTACTTAAGAGGTGGTTCCATGCTCCACAAAATCTCCAGATCAGAGGCCTTGCTGCTGGATGTAGTTTATCGTCATACCCAGGACAAGGAGGTAGCAAAAAGAAAGGACTAAACATTAACTGTAAATGGAGACTAGAAAGACTCACACTCAGAAAGAAGCAGTTGAAATTTCTGGGGCACATTATGAGGAAAGATAGCTTGGAAAATTTAATACTCACAAGATATATTAAGGGAATCATGGGTAGACATAAACTCATTAAGTTGCTTGCAGTTTATGTGAATGGATGGCAGAGCAGGGACAAGGAGGTATGGTAGAGTCAAATATTGTTTAGAGCTGCAAGAAACGGCAAGTTATGGAGAGCTATAATCACCCACTACACAAAATGACATGAAACATAAAAGGTAATAGCACTTGGCATAATACAGCATGATTAAATAAGAGATTATTTGGTGGCAAGCAGTTCTTGTGTTTCTACAGGTGATCTTCAGCTACACACTGTCAATATTAACTTTACGAAGCAATTTATTTACCATCATAGCCTTCTGCCAGTCAACTTCAGAATTCTCCCAGATTTTTTTACCATTCTCAACAAAGAATTGCTCTAGTTGTTTTTTGTACTATTCCAGAAATTAAATTTTAAGAGAATCAAAAAAAAAAAAAAATCATCTATCTGAATATCCAATATCTGCTGAATATTGCTAATGAATAAAAACTTTGTAGCCAAACTGTAACAGTTTTTGACTAGTCACCAAAGAAACATGAAGTTTATCATTATCCTGAGAGAATATAACATCCTTTCTCTTCATCCAAGTCTTTCTTTCAATTCACCGAATTGGGAGCAAAACTTGTTTGAATCTATAAATTGGGTTTTCTCTGGGAGAGTCTATAATAGAGAACTCCCTAACAAACCAATCATATATACAGTGGTAATCATGGATGTGTAGCTATTGTTAAAGTTATAGCTGCAAAAAATGTAATTTGTGAGCCTAGTTCAAATTTCAGCCTATTCTGTTGCCTTCACTTTCACACTAAGGTTTTCAGGAAAGATATGAATCCCTCTTTTCTACCTCCAGCTATGGTTTTAAATATCAAAGTAGATGGAGTTCTTTAGCTTTGGGTGGCAACCAATCTAAGAAAGAAAACTCTGAATCTTAAACTGTGGAAAGTCAACAGGAAATCACTCCAATCTATTTCACAAGATCTCAGAGTAATTCTCAAATCAATCTTCAACTATGTGAAAAAAGTCAGATAGTAGTGCTGGTAACATTAATAAATATTTGTGCCTTACTGACATACCTTGTATATTATTAGTGTATACAAATATTAAGATTGGCCACATGTACGTTCAAGCAACAACTTATTCAACAGTGAGTACGTTTTAAATATCTTAGTATAGAATCACCTCAGAAGCAGCTATTATGGTAACGATTTCCGAAGGTTTAATTTTAAATTGTTATGCCTTTTCTTCTACCAAACAGAGCTAAAAACTAACATTTGCAGCTGGTAACATTACTCTACACATGTCTTGTTCTAACTCCACCTCTTCATTACTGGCTGTCTTAACAATTGTCTAGGCCAGTGTTTCTCAACCTTTTTAAGCAACAGCACACCTAAGAGCAAATGAAAATATCACGGCAAACTTAGCAAAACTTTTAAAGGGTAGACATTTAAATGTTATGAAATAAGACCATAGATTAAAAAAAAAAAAAAATACACACGCACAAATATGAACTTATTTTATTTCAATGTTTCTATTCAACTATTTGTGCAGCTTATTTAGTGTGAAACCTGAGCCTGGTGTTTTTTACAATTTCTATTTGGTTGAATGTGCAATAAGCAGGCCCTCATTTCTTCTTCAGTTGAGTGTAGTCTTTCTCATTTCTTATCTTTTATGTTATTTAGGGCTGAGAAGCTTAATTCACATAAGTAGAAAATTGCAAAATTGTGTCGAGACAATGTCTTGAGATTCAATAAAGCAGTGATAAGAATTCACAACTAAAATAAACCATTTAATTAATCCATTCCTTTCATATTCTTTAGACACTCAATGGTATCTATAATTCTTTGATTACTCTTGGTATTGCATACATACATATACATATATCTCACTTTTCATAAATTTTCATGCTAAAAATTTTAAGTGTTTAATATGACAGTGAAATATCTCTTGGAAGAAAAAGATTAGAAACAGAATGATAAAGATGGCAAATTATAGAGCCTATTACAAGACCAAGTTGAAGCAAGATGATCACTTAATAGACAAAGGTATCTGAGCGCCTCACATGAAAGACTTGTACAAATAAGACTGTCATCTAAGAAATGTAGGCATAAAGGAGCTGATTAATTAAATGATTCATTTTGATTGGGAACTAATTTTGTCTAAATGCAGATAAATAATTTATTTGTAAAGATTATTAAAATGACTAAGGGACGTAATCACTCATAAACTTATTAACTTAAGTTGATTTACCTCCCTTCTTACTCCAGATGAGACAGGAAATATATAAATACACATTTGCAATTATTATATACAGTTTGAATGATAATTCGAAATAGATAAAAAGAGATCTGTGATATATTATTATGGTATTTATGTTTTCATATATATTTTATATATATTATTAGTATATAAAATATATATATATATATATATATATATATATATATATATATATATATATATATATTTACACTACACAATAATTAAATATAAAAATATATTTAACAATAATAAAAAGAGAAAATATTTATATACAATTTTACAATTTTTATCTTATTTTTTATCTCATGTTTTATCATTTAATATTATAAGTGTATTAGATATATGCAAAAGTTTTCAGTATCATAGAAAACATTTTTTGTTTTTACATAAAAAAAATGCTGGAAATTTTTTTTATTACATCTAAGGTAGGTAGATGTAGAAAATATAGATTTACATAACGCACAATATTACTAATCAGTCTATGTGTGTCTAACACCCTTTCTTCAACTGCAAATGTGACAACACACTGATACTAGGCTGAGGGCTGGAGAGTGACATTTTGATCCCAGACATAATTCAAAACTCATTAGGTACTATGCTTGCACACACATTTTGAAAGATGAACATTTCCAAGAGAAAAAATAAAGTATATTTAAAAATAAAGTATGTATATTCTCATATTAGCCCAATCAGCCTTGAATTATTGGAACCATGACACATTAGATCATGCTACATGTTGCCAGTCCAATTAGTAACATCATAAGCCCACCCAGGTAAGGTTCTATGTCCTGTCATGTTGCTAACAGGGCCACCTGAGTGGATCTTCTGTTCCCATATACAACAGAAGCTAGAGAACACTGAATTAAGCTACTGGGTAAGCATCTAATATGTCCTGCATTGAATGTAGATGTGTTTTGAGCTTGATACAAGTTTACATCTAACAAATTTAGATGTGTATCTTAGATGT